AAAAAAAAAAAAAAAAATGAATATTAGATATCAAATAAATTAAATTATGAGGAGTTATGTGCTCTGAATATTTTGCATATTTCTCGTATATTACTTCCAAATTTTCTGACGCAAGCAGCTAACAGATGAACGATTACGTTACGATAGTGGAGCTACATTTATTATTAACATTCTCACTGATATCAATTTTGAAATTAGTACTGTAAAAAGATACGAATCCTGCAGGTTGTGCAGTTGGCAACTGCGATGGCATGGAATACCTCTGTGATTCACGTGCGCTAAGTACTTGGTTAAATATACGCACGTTTGAATGTTCGACACTATGCTAATGATTAAACAAGAGAAAATAGTTACTCGTGTCTTTTATTTGCGGTCCAATGAGCCATTTTGGAGTGATGAGCGCCGATAAAACCGCCATTAACGCCACCAGGGACAGCAACGTCCACAGTAAACTACGACCAGTGACTATCACATAGCACATGCTGCCGTTCGATTGTACAACTATGCCATCCTTCGGACACTAATCTCCTCCTGCAACATTTTCCTTTTTAGAGTAATTGTAAATATGTTGGCCAACTACGGGGAAAAGCAATATCCGTTGAAGGAACTAATTTATGGGAAATGGACATAAAGTTTTACTGCTTCGGTCACAACCAGAATTTAACGAGAGTGTCTTGGCACTCTGAGCCTAATTAACATTAAACGATGTACAATATTTTATGATACAGTGAATGGTTTCCTTTAATATTTATTTCAAGGCAGAATTCCTAATAAAATATCACGCTTCGTTGCGATTGCACGTCTATTTAAAGATAGGATACATATAATCGAGGTAATTGATCAATATGTAGTTCGAGCATATAAATTTTCATCAAAATGTACAAATCAATAATTACAAGCAGCATGTACTGCTCTCTCATCTGTCGTGAAAATATTTCCTAATCTAATTCGAAGTCCAAATGTGACGATTAAATGTGAAATCATTACAGCTCGTCGAGGTAATTTTATAATTAAAATATATTTAAAATGAAAAATAAACACCGGTACATTTATAATTACTATCATTCTTCATAGTTGGACAACATATTTCAACTATTAGATCACTCCATAAGTAACGCGGTTTTTCTAAGTGACAAAGCAGTGGAATTTTATTACCAGAGAATTAAAATAGAAAATTTGATTGAAAAATTAAATTGAAGCATCGTACGAAATAAGAAATTCATCGTTAATTAATTTCCATTTAATTGCCGTTGGAATTGTCTAACACTAATTTTCCCTATTTTCAAATTCGATCGAAATCGAACTTTGTTACGAGGCGAAGATTCGTGCGAATGCGACTTATAAAATCCGCGAGAACACGCTTATCACGGCACAGTTACTACTATTCTCCATAGACGGATAGCATATTTCAATTATTAGATCACTCCAAAAGTAACGCGGTTTTTCTAAGTGACAAAGCAGTGGAATTTTATTACCAGAGAATTAAAATAGAAAATTTGATTGAAAAATTAAATTGAAGCATCGTACGAAATAAGAAATTCATCGTTAATTAATTTCCATTTAATTGCCGTTGGAATTGTCTAACACTAATTTTCCCTATTTTCAAATTCGATCGAAATCGAACTTTGTTACGAGGCGAAGATTCGTGCGAATGCGACTTTATCAAGATACAGTTGGATTGAGAGGTCAACGATTCGACGATTCGGCCGCAGAGTTTCGGGCAACTGCGCGAGAATAAATGGCCACTCACATATATTTCGGGGAAACGTTGCGTACCGATGCCTTTTTCCCGCGAACCGGCGAACACAGGCCGGCATTAAAAGTGAAGTCGTAAGCTCGGCCGCTACACCTCTTTCTCTCGTTTCTTCAACCGGTTTCGATTTTTTATTCTGAATTAGTGAGAATCGTAAACCCATGCCGAACAACAAAGCGTCCTTTTCTTGCGGCCGATCGTAAAACGGTGAGCACGTTTCGCGCCGGTTCGATTCGATTCGACTTGGATCGGTGGAAGGAGGAAATTCGAGCTGACATTTCTCATTCTGTTTCAGTTCTGACAGTCCTGTTTTCGTTGGAATTTCAAATTTGAGGACTGAAATGATTTGAATAAGTCTTAAAGACTTTAGAAGTCTATAAAGTGAGTCAATCCTTGCTAATTTTTACTTAATATTTTGTTAGTTTCAATTTCAATCACTGGATCATATATTGATCTAATAATTGATATTTTTGAGATGTTCAATAGGATACAGAATTATTTATTTAATCTTACATTGAAATAGAAGTGCAATTTGGTGATTATTGAATTTGAAAATGAGCACGTTCTTGTAGCTTTCACGCTAGATTATAACATTAAAATATTTCTCGTTTCTAAATACAGCATCTGAAGATTGGCACAAGGGTTCAACACTTTTTATTTGAAATCAGAATTTCCTAGTAAGATCAAACACCGAATACCTCGATTTATGTTTCAAATGAAATATTATTATTCAGATAACAAAAGAGAACTTTATTTGAATGATTATTGAGATAAAAATAAAGTTCAAATAAAATTCAAATGAAATTCTCATTAACAATAAAATTCTTCCTTTTTCAGGTATTTCTCAAGGAATTCCTTTTTATTCTACGAATAGATCGGAATTTGTTGATCTAAAAATTCGGTTCCTATATTCTATCGAACAAAGGCTTCTCGTGTTTTAATGTACCGAAGAACGAAGGTTGGGCAGATCGATCAGAAACCTGTCCCTCCCTCAAAATTGACCTATTTTGCTTTCTAACTTTAGATCGACCTATGTTTGGGCCCTGTGAATGATTTAGTGGGCGGTGGCCCTTCGTTGTCGAACGTGTGCTACTCTCCGCGATCCTTGAGATTTTTGATCCCCTTTAAACCCGCAAACTTAATCGCTTTCATTCCTTCGCGTCAGATGAACGACTCTCTTTGATGTAGCCGCAACGTGGCGAATCACTATCATAACGTGGTATTTATACGAGAGAAAAAAGAAAAGGGTTCCTTGATCGACTTCATTCTGTGCTATTTTTTTTTTTTTTTTTATTCGCGTTATTCGAATGACACGTGGGATTTTTCGATTTCTAACTATTTCATCGAATTGAAATAATTTGTGTTAGATTGCTAAAATTTTGGATATTTGTCATAATTTTACTCTCGCTGATAGAGGTAATCAACTTAAAAATTTGAAGAATTATTAAAGATTATTATTTGGTACTTAATAATAACCCAGTTAGAAGTAAAGAAGAAACGAATGGTAAAGAGACAATCAGATCCAGTTATACGAATTTTTTAAACTATTGATAATTAATCAATATAATACTGTGCGGTATTAAAAATTTAACATTCAACATCTCTGAAATATTCAAGAGACTAACGAAACAAGTACTCGATTCTCAATAAAAAGAACAATTTTCTGATTGATTAATAAGTAAGATAAAATTTCTTAAAATGTTTTTCTATGGTTCCTATATTAACGACTGAAGTTCGACCTTTCCTGTACTAAAAATGAAAGAGAGGAACTAAGCAATAATTGTATCGCCTTCAGTGGTAAACAGTGGGGAGCGCGACGACATTTGATTAAATTCATTTCACTGGCTGTACATCTGCCAGTCTTATTTTTATCATTTCTTGCGCCGCCTCCTCGAGAGCCACTCCAGAAGCTTGGTTTACTTAGGATCGCCCCTTAATCGCTGTTTGTATTTATACTGTCTCCGAGTTCACGTTTGAATTTAATGAATGTCTGACACCGGAAGCATAGAAACTCGTGGCCTCGCGGGAGGAACAAGATCGCCTCAAGCTTGTTCCAGCATCGAACATCTGTCGTTGCTCTAAAAAACACGTGGCACTGTAGTATGTACTATAACTTTTCCTTTCCTATTAAGTGCCTGGTATTAGGATGCCGAAAGTGTTTAAGTATTGCTAATTAACATCAACGAATACCTTAATGTCCCGAAACTTCATAAAATTTCAGGTTTTCAGAATTTTAGAATTTCAGAGTGCCAAGAGTCTGGAATTTTTGCAGTTTTAGAAGTCTTAGAACTTCTATTAATTTTTAAAGCACTAGAATTTCAGAATTTTCCACTGATTGAAATAACGTCTGAGGGAAAGATATGCAAATGAAATGTTGTGTGAAACGTGATGGATTAATAGATCGCGGTTTGAATTAACCATTCGAAGTTCGAAGGAGGACGGACTGTAGATAAGACTGATCAGACTATTTGCATGTAGGTTGACTGTAATTCGACGGACAACCTCTCTTGCTTTTCTTCTTTTTTCCATTTTAATCGTTGCGTTCATTGTTGTGGCTTGCCACGCCTTTGTTGAGTGCAGTAGGGCCCCATTGTCTCGACGTGAGTCCCCCTTACTGAATTAATTTTCGATGTTTAATTCGTTGGAAGGGAGCAGGTCGAAGTAGCCTCTAAACTAGGTGGAACGAAATTCTACTCGCTCGAGTGGCGAGGCTTCTGATCGAATTAACACGTTCGCTACCATCAGACGTGCGTGACGTTTCAAAATTACCTTACAGCAATTTAGTCAAACGAATGAAATCTAAGTAGTTTTACAACATCGAAATTAATATAATACAGAAATTCTTGATTGTTTTCATAATATTATGATAAATTCGTTTTCTCGATTTCCAATTTCTCACAAGTGCACAAGATTGAATTTGTATCGTAGAAAAATACAAGAAACAGAACTCGTGTATACTTTTATTCGTTTAATCATCTGGTCGTAGCGAACGTGTTGGAGCTGAATAAAATTTCCAGAGGAAACGAATTTAGACAAAGTCAAAATCAGTGAAGAAGAATAAGATTTCCGCGACGTTGGTGAATTTCTTCTTCGCCTCGGGCATCGCGGAATGCGATATCTTTCTTTTTCTCTCGTGTTGTGGCCCTGGACAAGAGGCTCGAGCCATTAGTCATCCAGCAATGGGTCCTCTGTCCGGCAGCTCGTTATCAGAAAAGCGTAAGTCGACGGCCAGTGCGAACTCCACACTCGTAAATTCAAATCACACGTTTCCGGCCCGCGGTCGTGTGCTTTACGAGCATTCTTTATTTCCAAGGGGCAGTCAGGACCTTTGGTCCGATGTTTTTCAATATCTCTATGAAGAGAATACGAGCCATCCTCTGCGTCATCTTCACACGTTTAATCCCTTCGTCTTGATCAATTCCTTCTTTCTTGGATAGTCTCTTTTCCGCGAAAATTTATTTTGAAAAATTACTAAATGCAGCATAATATATCTTCTGTCTTCTTCTTTTTCTATCGTGTATTAGAAATTTCTTTTTTTTTTTTTTTTATTGAAAGTGGAGTTTATTTAGATTAACTGTGATAGACGGTTAATTAAACAGTGTATAAAGAAAATTTTTATTTCGTCGATTGTGTACATAGTAATCTAAAAATGCATAAAACTTTGTGTCTCTCTTCGTGATAGAGGTTAGGAATAAATCGTTATAATTCCAATGGGACCCAATGATACCGATTAAGAGTTAACTTCCTTTTGCTCGCCATTGTATGTACGCTATTATGACTGTCGATAGATCTCAGCAGTTCTTAGAGCATTAC